TTCCCTCGTTACCTGTCCTAATTATTATTAGCTCCAGGCGGTCGACCGCCCCATAAATCTAACAAATACTATGTTGCGGAATACGTGTGTGTCTCCTTTCTTTGTCTGGTCGGATGGCCATCGCCGAGCAATGACCCTGTACTGTCTGGTTTTTCTAGAGTTGATAAAAGGCCCTGCGAAGCCCAGTAGAAAGCAGTGGTTAAGATACCCTCAGAGAGAGTTGTATATGCGTATATATCGGAGCTGAATAAATACTTGTAAGTCGAACTTGCGTGTGTTTATTTATCATCAAATTGTCTTGAATACTTAAAGTATTCGGTCTTGGGATCCACCTGGTAAAAGAGTTTTGAACCTTTAAAAAATCTAAATATATTGTTGGCAAACTTGTGGTTATCCTCTTAAAGGTTTTCAATACGAATAAAAATTTCGTATTGATTGTAAAACCCAATTGCAGGACAACAATCTAAGCTGTAATGATGAACCCTCCAAAACCTTTTGCATTCCTTCCTTGTGATATGAGGTGTTGGAAATGGTTAGCACTCATCTTTATTCTCTCATCAACACTTGACACATTTGCACACAAAAAGGGGAAATTTTCAACATTTTAATTATTTGTGGAAGGATAACCTGAAACAATCAAATGAATGAGAAGGATTTCTCTGCTATCTTTCAGACAGAAATTGAGAGCAATTTGAATTACAACACCCATTCAATTTGTCATGGACACCCTCAATTCTGGTTAAAGTTTCTTGTCATCATAAGTTTAATAGATTTCCTCGCCAGCACTTGCAATTTGGTGAAATATTGCTCATGATTCCATTTTGAATTGTCACTATGGAGCAGATAGAAACTGCATTAAAAAACTCATGTCACTCAAAAATGTTCCAAGGACAGCACGAAAAAGGTTACAGGGTTAGAGAATTCATTATTGATTGCAGTTGTGCATTGACTCCAGTAAAAAATTTAAAATGCTCATTTTTACATTCTCTTTAACATTTCTCTGAACAACTTCAAGTGCTGCAACAGGTGCTAAGATGCATGTAGAAATCCATGTACCCAAAAGGGGCATTGTCATAGAACTGCCTTAATATAAAGGTGTCATGTTAGAAAAATCATAATTTTGGAAGCTATTAATGCAAATTTAAAACATCCAAACTTCTTTTGAACTTTCAGGTTCACATTGTCTGTGCTTCTCAGTAAAATTTCCACAAAATCTTCAAGTAAATGCAGCAATTTATATTATTTGTACCCATGTTTATGTCTGGGCAAGAAATTTTTCAGGCACTAAGTGAGTTGGCACTAATTTGGGTGTTCCCTTAAGATTATGATGGAGGGAGATTTGTTATAAAGAATTTCATGGCATCAGTATGCAAGGGGAGCATTGAAATGGGACGAACTGAATTGAGGTTTGACTGTGCTGTATTATGTTATGTTATCAAGGTTGTTTTTATTTGATTAGTTCAGACAACCCTATTCTGTTATTTGGATGTATTAATCCAGCATTTTGCTTCAAATTCTGTGGTTCTTCGCAAATTTTTTTCATTTTCATTTTTTATATTTGCAGGGATACCTTAAAAGAAGATTACCTCGAAGAGATGATGACGCCTGCCAGTAAATATGTACTGGTCTCTGCAGTTCCCAAACTGCTCCATTCAATCCTGGCTATATACTCATACCCAGTTCTGCTTTTCAAAGGAGTGCCACCATAAACAACTGTGTCCGTGTCACTGTTATTCTGGAAAGGCTTGAAAGAAGCGGGCTTGGTGGTCTTGGTAGAGTTTGAATTTTTGCTCCCAGTTTTGGAAAGAAGCAATTTTTCAAGAGAAATTTCCACTGATTTTCGCTGCTGTTCCAAAACCTTCTGCAGCATTTCTTCAGATACATGGAATCCTGAAAAATCAGACTGATTTATAAAACAGAGTAAAATCCAATTATCATACATTTATAGTCCCCTGATGAAGAATTGGTTACAACTAAAAATATGCTGTTTCATTATACTGTACATTCATGGTTTCATTATACAGTGAACGCCTGTCTAATGTACTTAATTTGTGCGACCGTATAAATATTAAAGATAAAAAATCATGTCAGACAAATTTGTATATGAGACATATATATATTTTTTACCATGTGCATGTGTGTTCGATTTGTAGCATCGTTGAAAGGGCAAAAAAATGTCTCCAGAGTTGGTATGTTGGACAAAACATGCTAGCTAGGAGGTATGTTCAGTGGGGGCTGACTGTATTCAGACTGAAATTTTGTGGGAAATCGAAAATAAATACTGTTAAGTGCTTTTATAACAGATAATTCAAGAACAGTCATGATTCGTGTCTACTTATGAAATGAAAAAGACACTTTTTGAATATTGCAAACTCTACAGAATAATGTTAATTGTTTGAATACTGTACACTGTTTCTTGAACCTGCCTGACACTGATGTGCTATATATTAAAATAAAAAAATTGCAACCAAAAGTATAAGCGGAAAACCAGGTCATTCCAAATCAACTAGCTCATTAATGCCTATTTTTCCTTCAGAGTAGAATACAATTTTTGATACTTATTTTAAAGAACGGCGTTTACATCCCGAAATTATTTAGCTTAAGAATGTCCAAAAAAGTATTTCATGTATTTTTTATGCTGAACTGTTTTACACAAAGTTTTGCTTTGTTGAGGAAGTTCAAATGCTGCTGCAGTTTAATTTTTCTTTTTTCTGACCCCTGTTACATGGTACCCATTGCCTATATGCACAGGGCAAACCACTCAATTGTTTTACACACTGATTTTACCGCTTAAAATGAGTTTGCCAATATTAGGTCCTTATATAATATGGCGTATCTTGGGCAACTGCAGAGACGAAGAAAAGGTATGCATCGTTGCGAAAAACTCGATCTAACGAGATTCGTTGTGAATGAATTTTACTGCATTTACGTTAATATCAGTACAATTCACGTCTCGAAATAAATCGATAAACCTTTTTAATTCTGTTGATTGATTTACAATATGCTTCAGTCAAGTGCTTTTCCTTACCTGGATCCTGGAGAAGAACCTTCGGAGAAAGCAATGCAAGGGTGGAGACCACAAGAAAAACTCGCCTCATTTTCAGCCTTGAAATGAAATAAGCACACTTCGAATCAATGTTCCACCAGAAACATTGCAAGACCTTCACAGCTTGTAAACAGGGAATGACGTTTGTACAGTACTTGAAGTTCACCCAAGTACATCTGAACAACATGGCATTTTAGGAAAACTCTATTTTTTCATTTTGGAAGTACCTCTTCAGTACTCTGGTGGTGTGATGTGTCAGTTTCACCATAAAGTACTTCAATGTAAAGATTAGGCCAGAAAAATACTGGAAAATCTTGAAAGTTTTGGCGAACTTTAATCAGATTGAATGAATGTCAATTTTGAAAAGCTTGCCGCAAACTTTGAGCAGATTCAACGATAATGATGCGTGCAGTAATAATCTCAATAATTTTTAAGGCGTGGTTTGTGCTTGTAGTAGTTCGGAAATAATTTTCAACTTACACACACATTACATACCTTTCGCTGGCAAAACTATCATCAAATTTCACACGAAAATTTCTGAAGAAACTACATAAGTTTGTGAAAAATAAAAGAATTCTTGAAATTCGTTGCTTGACCCTATTTTCCTGTACTACACGAATGTTATACTGTACAGTCTAACTACAGCATTGAAGTTAATCATTATAACGGGGTTTCCACATTTTTTTCCTCAGAAAAGAGGGTTGAAATTTACGAAGCGAATGTTTCTTTTCAAATCTGCACAAAGATATGATTTCCAAATTATTTACCTAATCCATGATGTACCAACATTTATTACATGACTTTGTCCAAAGAAAGTGTTTGTGCTTGATCTTCTCACCGCAAAAAATTCAAGTATTCTGACAGTCAAGTACGGAGGACAGTAATGAAAAATACTTCCAAGAATTTCTTTTTTTTCGCACTTACTCCTCATTTCTGGCTGTATTATGCAATGTTGATGTCCAGCCTTTTACTGTAAATGAAACAGATGATTTTTTATATCGAATTCTGGGTGAAGCTCGAGAGTTCATACATGTATATATGTTCAAATAAAAACATTTTTTCGAGCATATTCATTCTGAAATTTTGTATGCATATCTATCCCGGAAGTTAGATACTGAATTTTTTTCAGTTAGGGGTAATCTTGGAAAGCTTTTAATCGTTTACCTGAACATTTGCTATTTAAATTATTTTTACTGCTTGAACTGTCCTCTTTGGGATCACTGTTTGTGTTATGGGATACAGAGAAATTGTCTGTCCAGATGTTCCTTGATTAGGCCTTTTAGGAACTTGTGATTTGGTATTCATCGTGGACTCCATGAAGAAAAGCTCCGGTTCCTTGATGGTCAGGTGAACACACTCCTTGTACTTCATTCAAATAAAAAAGAGTTGCATTTGTATTAGGATTCAATTTGAAAAAATTCAAATTTTAAATTGCCACATATAGAAAACATCACACACAGAGCTTTTTGGTCCAATGATGAGAGGAAGGTGTAAGTGAATCTGTGTCCATAAATGATTCCGAAAAAATCGTGTTTATACAATTGCATTGGCCAAAAGAAGAAAAGATGCAGATTTGAAGCAGATAAACTAAATCAAGTTTAAAAAGCCGTCACGAGTTGCCTTCAATCAAGAATCTCATGAAGTTAACATGCACCACCATAATCACAGTTCTCTAGGTAGCATTCACGAAGTGTATACAATCACAAAAATATTTGAAGCTGAACTTGTTTCAAACTCCTTCAAGAAATTTCAACAATTCAAACACAGCACACAGGAATGGGAAACTGTCACACAACAATATTGGCACGTACAGTCAAGATGCAAGCACTTATATACTTTTGCACATGATGAAGTTCAGAAAAACACAGAAAAGGAGGTCATCCCTGTTTTTCTTGTCACATCAGGCTTTCGACCTGGCTAGGGGACTAGACATCTGACCTGAATTGGAAACTTTGATGTCTCAACTCAATGCTTTTTCAGACTTGCATGGTGCAATGAAAACAACTGACCTGAAATTGTTTCAACTGGAGTCACCATACTCAACAAACAAGAACACTTGATCATAAAATGCCTTCTTAGTGAAGAGTTTACTTTCAAGCGCTTGATTGGGTAGGCACAAAAAGAGAAAAGAATGAGCAGAACAAGCCATTCTACAACAAATGCTGTGATCACTTTCTTCATCTGCAAGAGCCAATCTGAGAGCAATGAAATTTTGATGCAGGGATCTCCTTGCTTGACTCAGAATCAGCTTATCATTAGTTTCAAATAGATCTGAAATTAAAAGATTTAGTCAGGCATTATTCAGGACATGATTTAAAATCATGTACCACAGTATACAAGGCAAGCACTGTACTGTGTATCACTGTTGATCTTTGAACGCATAAAATCTGCACTCTTTGAAATTTTAGGGGTCCAATACATTAAAAAAAAAAATTTCTTGGCAGGTTTTTGTGAGTACTGCAGAAATCAGTTCTCAGAGAAAACTGTGATGCAAGATCAGGAAAAGACAAAAGAAGGAATGGAAGCAACCAATCATTCAAGAGCTTTTGAGCTTTCTGCTAATATCTTGTCAAAACAAAAGTAGAATAAATCTTGAACAAAGTGTATTGTGGTTTACTTTTAGTGGAAAAGTTTTGGTCATAATAAGCTCCCATATGACTTAAGGAGAAAGAATATTGTTATTCAGAGGAGAGAAGGTTTTTGCAATCATTTTTGGCACCAAAAAAGCACATGATAAAGTTCATAATTAAGGAGTTTCCCCAACCTTGGCAGATTTTTTTTTATTGAATTGAACAACAAGCTTTATTTTCTGCTTTCCTGCATTCTCCAGGTTCAAGCAATGTTCCCGCATCCAGACACTCAACCCCCCCCCCCCCACCAACATTCATCAAAATACATTCAATCCCATTCAGAATTGAAAATTAAGAAATGAGGATCCCATTTTGTTTGGTTTTATGTTTTGTTTTGTTGAATTTTGGAAGGAACTTTTATGGGTTGAGGGTGGTTCAAGGGAGTTTCATAGCATTCAAATTACATTGCAGACTGTGTCATGAAGAGGAAAATTGTTGGTGTTTACCTTTACTATTGTTCTCCTGTGAAGTAGATTGGAAGCATGACCATTGTATATCTTACATCCAGGGTTATGTTGAATAAACGGATCCCGTGGGAATTTCAATCAAGTCTCCCTTTATTTCTTGGCCTCCAGCTTATATCTTTCTTCCCTCAAAACTATTTCCGTCTGTCACATCGTGAAGCAGCAATTGACACAACAAAAGAAACCCACACAATTCATGCCTTGATGTGAACCACACCAGGTACAGTACAGGGAAGATATACTGGGTGATCATCAGCGACGAAGTAAATAACTGAGCAAGCTTGAAAAAATAGACTTGACTTTCCACACCTTGAGAACCCCAAAGCTGCGGCATTTGGAGGCATATTTGCAGACAAAAGAATAGTGGGATCTGTAGCTCATTGTAGAACCCAAGGAATTGTAGATTGTAGAACCGAGCTCTTGGGTGGAGTTGCACACGCTGAATTGGTTGACGGCGGCAATAACGTAGGTGAAGTAGATTTTCTGGAGCGCCTTGATTTTCACTCCTGCGCCCGTGTTACCCTGAAAAGCATTCATACTTTTCTGACTCAGAATAAAGGGTATAGTCCATTATACTCCTTTTTTCCACAAATTGGGAAGGGACTCAAAATTTCAAGCATCTGGCATAACACCACGGGCCACCATCTTTCATTTACAAAGAAAATCAAAAGACTGTTGCTGGATCCTGTTGCTTACAGTAGCCTTTTAACATGGACCCAGGCACCCAGCTGAAACCTGATATTCAATACTAGCACATACCTAAAAACAGATCAAGCGTATGGAAAGACTCAAGCAATGCCATCAACTATTATTTTACAGAATTTTCGGAAAGACTTTTGACTCACAGTATCACTTATTTCAGGACAGGATCCTGCATTTGCTTGCAGGCTGTAATAGCAGGAGACCGATGTGGGATCCAAAAAAGAAGTATTCTTTGGACAAGTAGTTCCTGAGATATCATATCGTCGTGCAAGTTGCCAAGCTAGAAATCAAAAATAGGAAACTTACTCAAGTTAGGCATATAATGGACTTCCTAATGCAAATACTGAACTGGAGTTATTTGAGGAACCCGTGTATAGAATCCATAGATCTGTGATCCCCAACCTTTTTGGTTCCACAGACCAACAAATATTCCCACAATTTTTAGCAGACAGGCAAGTTCTGTTGTTTTTGGGCTGATCAGGTGCCATGCAGCCATGCCACAGAAAGTATTTAACCCTTCTTTTAGCAAAGTTATACTTTTTTTGTAAATTTTGGGTGCACTCAAGAATTATATTTAAAAAAAAACAAGGACAGTGTGCACCGGGGTGAATGTGGGAAAAATCCTGGCGCAATATTCTTTTTATTTCCAAACACAAATTTTACTCACAAATGAAAAAATTGAATCTTCAGGGCTTACGTTCCCCCTGACCTTTTGTTGTTCCTTCATTCAAAGATTAAATTCAGGCTTAAAAGCCAGAAACCCATATTTTAGTCCATTACTAGGGTGAGAGTCCAGCTTAAGACTTTTGCAGCATTTCTTCATTCCTTTGATAAAATGCAATTTTGACCTACCCCACTTGGCAGGAGTTGCATAACCTTGGGTTAAAATGAAATGTAGGCCAGACCCAAAAAAGTCTGACTTGCCCGTGGGATGAAAAGAAGGCTGCCATCAATCCCAAGGTTAAAAATGTCTCAAAATTTTGGCTTCTTACCGCTGCCCATGCCGCTCGAGGAGTTCACCAAATCCCAACCGCCAATGCTAACTTGCTGCCAGGACGGGTATTCGTTGGTGAACTTGCTAATTTCGATGTCAATAAAAGATGCCAACTCGCTGGAAGTGTCGATGGAGGAGGGCAGAGGGAGAATCGCTAAATTATTTGTTATCAATCCTTGCGGATTAGTGAGGGGGTCGATGTAATCCGGGTGAACTATGATGTCTGTGGGGGACAAGGAAAATTCTTGTTCCCCAGCTTCTGCATCCCCTGATCTCAGGTCTCCGACTACCACAAACATGGTAACCGATCCTGCATTGGCAGAGTCCCTCATTGCCACGAATGGAAATGCACTTGTCAGGACGTGACTGAAATTAGGAATTTAAAAATAAGCATAAGGAATTGTCGAGGCATGCATTGACTGAAATGCTCATTTCATGAAAATCATTTTATGAAGACCACGATTATGTTGGCCTGAATCAACGCAGGCATTAAGAAGGTAATGCCAAAAATTCAGGAAATTTCAATGTTATCCAAGAAAAATGCGATGGGCTACTGCTGCTCTATGCCACTTCTATGGTTCTTTTCTGCTAATTGATGCATTTCAAGACATTTGTTTCCTTCTATGACGGTTTGGTGTCACATGGTGTTCGTTGTTCAGAAAGAGCTTCGAGAAAAACCTTCTCAGCTTTTATTTTGATTGCAAATTAGTCTCGACATAGCCATCCTTGTGAGGGTTGGCTGCTCTTTCTTTATTCCTTCTACATTTTTTAGAATGTTATATACCTGCTGTGTGCAGATTTGGAACTGCATGAGCGCAACATCTTTTCATTCACATATATTCTGTTTTCAGTGTTCCTTCTAAAATTTTGTCATGCCTTCACCTTCATGTTACCTAATAGAACACTCTGAAAAATCTCGGAGCAAATATTCAAGTTGTCCCCTCAAATATGTGTTCTTGTCTACTAATCAAGTGATTTCCTATTCTAGTTTTTTCCTCTGAGTCTTTCCCATGCATTCTCTTGCTTGATTCTGATATAGCTCAAGAACAGGACTTTACACTGCCCATGCCTAATTTTTTGCAAGAAACATGCAATTTCAAACTATAAACGGAACAAATGCGAAATACTGATTTTTAATTTGTCCAGAAATCCCCTATACATTACATTGTTTTGATATAAGTATGAGACAGTAATAAATGGCAACTTTTTTCGTTCTGCATGATTTTTTTTGGGCGACAATTTCCAAAAATACCCTCACAATGCTAATTATTGACAAATTTCAGAAGCTATTTTCAAAGAACACGTATGCACAAGAAATATTTTCTAGAGGTTGTGACATTCCTTTTTTCATTTAATGTGAAATGTTTGATTCAGAGTTCATGTCAATGTACGGAAGTTCACCTCTTGGAAATGATGATACCTGCCGCATAATTGATTCGATTACTTCCCGGGGCTGAGCCTGTTGGTGCGACTTCAATCCTGGCCACATATTCGTAATACGATCTGCTGTGGATGATATTCACGCCGGAATCGTCGGGTTGAGCATCACTGTCATTCTGGAAACGCTTGGAAGCAGACAGGTTGGTAGTTTTCGACAAGTTGGGGGTTTTGCTTCCAGTTTTGGAATCAAGCACTTTTCTCAACTTCTTGTCGATTGATTCCTGTTGTTGCTTCACGATCTCCCGCAGTATTTCTTCAGACAGCCCAGTTCCTAAGATTGCAGGTTTAAAAAATTGCCAAAAATGCTTTAAAAATCCTAGTGCAATTACCGTTTGTACTCGGGTGCTATGCACATTTTTTTTTTTGCTTGAAAATAGGTGGCGCGCGTCGGAGTAGGATATAAATTATGCCGAAAAATATGAGAAGTTGACGTGCATTTCACATTTGATTTTGAATATTTTGAGCAATTTTGGCAGGAAATTTTCAAAAAACCAAAACAATTGAAAAGCACGTGAAACCATGAGTGTGGTTCACGTTCAAATAAAAATTCTGTGGTCTCTTCTTTTTGAAGTACAGTCCAGTAATCTATTTTGTCCTCCTCACAGAAAAATGGGACGCTTTTCTTATTCAGGGATAGCATTTCATTGAAATCGTAGGGTTAAAAATCAAAGTGTATGTCTTATACCCGAGGGCGCATCGTACACAATTTGCTGCAATTAAATTCAAATTTCTTGGAATTCCAAAACTTCAATTTTTTATACTGTATTTGAAGTGTGGATTTTCTCACCAGGATCCTGGAGTAGAACCGTTGGCGTCAGCAATGTAACGGCTGAGAGAATCAGAAAAAATCGTCTCATTGTCAGACCTAATTCCTGAAGGAAATTTGCACTTGAAAATCCTGCAGATTCAACACTAGCTGCAAAAGCTGGCACTGTGAATGAAGAGCTTACTGAAAGTTCGCCGATGTAACGCAATAATTGTATGACGCTTTAGGTGAACTTTTCAAAATAGAAAAACGTGTCTGGTACTGATAGAAACTGAGTGTCTCAACAAAGAACGGAGGATAAGAATGATGAATCAAGCACCACAATTGACGTAGGAAAAGCTTTTCCTGTGTTTCAATTGGTTTTGGGAGGAAAATTCAACAATGAATTTACAAAAATGGTGCTGTGTTGTCCACGTTTTGGGATTTATGGAAGACAAGTGTTTTGGTGTCGGGCTCTCTGGGATATCATAATTGACAAGCTTCATGAAATCAGGGGAAAAAATTCAAAACAGAAATACACGTTTCAAATTATTTTCATGACACCTCAAAACACAACACGGTTGGGAAACATTTGTGAATGTCGTAGAAGAAGCAGTCACAGCAACGCAAGCACTTTGTACACACACCTGCATGAAGTTCAGCGACACTAAGAAGTGAGGGGGAATCCCTGTTTTTCTTGTCTCAGACATTTCAACTGGAAAGGGAATTCATACACCTGACTTGAATAGGGAACTTTGACGTCTGCACTGAGGGCGTTTTTCAGACTTGCATGGTGCAAGGAAAACAAATGACCTGGAATGGGAACAACTGGAGCCACCATACTTTCTAAAGAACAAACACAGACAATCATATATATTGTACTTACTTTTTAGTGAACGCACTTCAAATTCAAGGATTGCATTAAGAAAGCACAGAGAGAAAATATGTGCAGAACAAACGACTGTAACTTTGTGATTACTTCCTTAATCTGCAAATGCTAATCTTGGACATTTGCCCAAGAATCATCGTGCAAGAATCTTCATTTATGATTCAGTCTGCCTAGTTGAATAACTTTTAAATGGGAAGATTTATTCAGCACATCATTTCAGATATTTTCCGAGGTATTGCACTCCATTCTATGTGTGAAGTATCTCACTGCTGATGATGATTTCTTTATTGCCTAATTATCAGCAAGTGCATGAAATTGGAACTTTTTCGTACTGCATATTCCCCAATAAACACCGCAGCATTTATTTTATGGATATTACCTTAATTTTTCCCCTGGCCTTCAATATAGACTGTATATCAGAAACCAGCAATTACTTTCAACAGTTACAACTGTGGAGCAAGAATATAAGAAAACTAGGTGGGGAAAATGGGAAAACAATTTAATTTCTGGATGATTTTTGGAAATACGGCAGGTATGTATAAGAAAATGCTGAATGGGAAAGGTTTTCTGGTTCCGTATTTATGACTAGATTGTGGGAAGATTATTAGGATTAACCAAAATCTCCACATTTCACCCCACCTCGTTCTGTGATCTATATAGCAACTATTGGTCACTGGCTACTATTCCTGTGAACTCCCTTTCAGACAAAGCATTTCTAAGAAAACAGTGTCAATTGGAGACTTGTCATTCATTTAAGGAGTTATGGTACCTGCTTTTTGCATGAGTGCAGCACCAATCACTTTCCTGACTCAACTGGAATGCAAAATCACAAAAAGACAAAATAAGAAAACCATCCTTTGAGCTTTGAGAAAACCATCATTGAATGAATCCTTTTTCAACGTTTCATTCATTAAGGATTTGGCAGATTTCAGTACACGCCAAATGTTGGAAAAAACGTTTATGGGGAGGGGAACTGGTTTTTGTGGTTCCATTGAGATGGCATTTGTATCTATTGCGGACCAAAGCAACGTAGCTCCAGCATCCTGCCAAAACAAGACCCCAAAACTTGTAGGTTTTCCGAGGCGTGTGAGCCTCGCAAAAATCCCATTTTGGCAAGACTCACTGAGCCTCACTCAAGGACAATAGTGGTCATCACTTCTTTGATTTTGCCTGAATCGGCCAATCCTGAGCCAGGAAGAAATCACCTGATTTCTTCCTGACCCAGTCCAAGCACCTAGGTATAATTAACCTAAATTAAATTACCTCATTTATTATTCTGAGCTAACCATTGACTCTGCCATTATATTGAATTAACAGTGAATTGATGAACTGGGCAATGAGAATGAACTCCTCTGAAAAAGAGTTTGAGTTCTTATTCAAAGCTTGCATTCTGATGGCTGCACAATTCAATTCCTTTGTCTGGGATCCAATGGACCCATGACAGTATCACTAGAAGTGTCTTGAAGGTGACTATTGTTTTTGGTTTCCTTCTTTGGTTTTCCTCTGAAGCAAATTGTGAGCATGAACATCAGAGTTATCGGTTGATCATGTGGAATCAACGGATCCAGAGATAATTCCAATTCTTGCGATTCCTTTATTTTTCGGTCTTCAGTCTATTTCTTTCTTCATGTACAATCATTTCCACTTGTCACGGAATGAAGCAGCAATTACTTCAAGAACAAAAAACACCACACAATCAACCATGAACGAATTTAAACCACACGGATTAGAGTACTGTACTGTACTTTACTGCACAGTATACTGTATGCTGGTAACTATTCAGCGGCGGAGAAAATAACTCATCAAGCTAGAGAAAATAGATTTGAAGATCCACTTCAGGGGTTTTCCGAAGCTGCGACACTTGAGGGCATATTTGCAGACGAAAGAATAGTGCGACTGGTAGCTCAGTGCAGAACCGCCGGAATAGTGATGCGGAGTGGAATCGCACATGCTGAATTGGTTAATAGCGACGAGAAAGTCTGTTGGGATGATCTTCTTCAGCAGCATGAGCGTCACTCCTGTTCCCATGTCACCCTATATACAAAAGCATTTAGACTTGTCTGACACAGAATCACGAGTATACTTCATCACTGTTTTATTTTTTTTCTCCATAAACCCAACAGGCAGGGGCTCAAAATTACAAATGTGGCGAAACACTCCAGCCCATCAACTTTCATTCACGAAGGCAATTGAAATTATTTCATGACTATTTTTAGATTTCACCCATTAGGTTCAATGCAATCTCGTGGAAACATCAAAGTAGCTCAAAGGGAGGATGCTCCTCAATTTCTCATTTCTTCCTTTTAAAGGCAATAAAATGTAAGCTGTAATTTTAAAACTGAACTGCTATGAGGCTGCATTATTGCCTCACTAACAATCCAATGTTCCCTTATAATCTGGATGCTTGTTTTTGAGCAGTTAAATATGCATTGAGTAGCCAAAAACATTCTTGCTTTTACAGACGTTTCATGACGCTTTCTGACTCACAGTATCACTTATGCCTGAGCAGGGTCCTGCATACACTTGCGGGTTGTAGTAGCAGGAGATTGCAGCAGCTTCAGAAAAGCTGGATAGGCTGGCGGGACAAGTGCTTCCAGTGAAAGTTGCCTGTGTAAGCTGCCAAGCTGGAAACCACAGAGAGAAAACATCATCAGGTGAAGCAGAAAATATAATCATGCAGGAGAGGAGTAGGTGTTTTCAAAAGGTGCTAAGGCATGAAATAGGTTACACTGGAAAACCCATACTCACACAAGTGCCTGATTATCACGTGCATTACCCTAGATAAACAAGCATTCTGGACTCATGCGCGGGTCTATACTTTTAAGCATATGCCAGGATATTTTCCCATTCTTTGATTTTTCCAAATTCAGGGGAGGCCTGATTTATTGGGAAAAATCAAGGTAGACAATACCGTCTTTTCACCAGAAATCCCAAATCTTAATTCTATGCTAGGAATGCATGAAATGCCAGCCGTTGAGTAATTTTCTTGCAGGCGTAATTTTTTGCATGACTTGAAAAAAGAAAATTCACTTTTCCTCACTTAAGTTAGCCCTTGGTTCTGAAATGAAGTTTTTCAAATTTTCACCAGTGCTGATGAGCCCAAAATTTTGCAAAAGTATCCTAACTTTGCTGCATAAGCATTATTAGAACATTAGTATAGGATACAAGGGTTCTAACAAAAGTTCTCGGAGTAGCAATGAAAATGGCATACAATTGAGCTTAAAAAAATTTAATCTCTAGCCAAAACATATTCTTTGGCACACAAAAAAATCAGCCTGGTTTGACAATTTTCTTTTAACTTTTTGAAAAATTCATCCATATAGAATTTTGCTCTCCACTCAAAAAATGAGGTGCCCTTTTTTTGTTGTAGCCCAGCTTTCCCCTCAGAATTTTTAAAATCAGCTTGGCATTCTTTCTAAGGGTTGCCTCCATGTCATCCAAGGCAATGCCACCATTTTCATCAAAAGCTGCCTTCACAGCCTCCACATTGTTTGCCATTTTGGCGGCTGTGAAGGCGGCTGTTGATGAAAATGGCGGAATTGCATTGGATGACCTGGAGGCAACCCTTAGAAAGAATGCCAAGTTGATTTCAAAAATTCTGAAGGGGAAGCTGGGCTACAACAAAAAAGGGCACCTCATTTTTTGAGTGGAGAGCAAAACTTTATATGGATGAATTTTGCAAAAATTTTACAAAAAATTGTCAAACCAGGCTGATTTTTTTGTGTGCCAAACAATATGTTTTGACTAGAGAATAAATTTTTTCAACTCAATTGTATGCCATTTTCATTGCTACTCCGAGAACATTTGTTAGAACCCTCGTATGTCAACATCCATGTCCAGTCAGCCACTGGTCAGTCAATTCATAGTTGTGCACCTGTCGGTTGTCAAGCGCCGGTTGGTCCAACTGCCAGCCAGGGCAGTCCTTGGCCTTGCCAATCCCCAGTCCACAAAACCATGGTCTGGTCACCCAATTGTTGGGGCACCCAAAGAATGGGGTGACAAGAATCATGCTGATTTTTCCAGAATTTGGTGAGCAGAATGGTATCCAACCACCGATTTTTTTTTGGAAAAATTTCAGCAATGTTAGGTTAGGTTCAGTCAGTTTATGTTATGTTAGTTTAGGTTAGGTTAGGATATGTTAGGTTAGGTTGGGTTGGGTTTGATCAGTTTTTTCTTTTTGTGAAAATTTTTATAAGATGAAATTTTGTAAAAAAAATAAATAAATAATCTGTGGTTGGATACCATTCTGCTCACCAAATTCTGGAAAGAATCAGCATGATTCTTGTCACCCAATTGTTTGGGTGCCCCAACAATTGGGTGACCAGACTTATGTTCAGTGGACTGGGGATTGGCAAGGCCAAGGACTGCCATGCCTGGCAGTTGGACCCACCGGCACTTGACAACTGGCAGGTGCGCAACCATGATTTGACCAACTAGCGGATGACCGGGTACCGTCAACATCAAAGTTGGATCAAAGATAGCATTCATCAAATCACGCACAACAGACTTTAGTAAAGCAGCATTCTAACATTGATTTTACCTCTTTTTCCTGCTAGGATGCCACAGAAGTAAGAAAAAATTCAAAATATTTATGATTTAAGCTGTGCTTTGTTTCTCACCGCTGCCTGCTGCGCTGCTCGTGGGGTCCACCATAGTCCAACCTGCAATGTCAACATCATACCCCGAGAGGTCGTTGGAGACCTTGCTAATGTCGATCTCAATGTACGATGAGGTGGTGCTGGTGATGGAGGTGGGCAGAGGGAAAATTGCTAAATTGTTTTTAGTCATTCCCAGCGGATTCTTGCTGGGATCAATGAATTCGGGATGAACTATGATTTCCTCAGGGGCCAGCAAAAATTCTTCTTCGTCAGATTCTATATAAGCTGATTTCAGGTCTCCGACTACCACGTAATATAGAAACGACCCTGCACTTCCTGCGGAGTCCCTAATAACCACGAATGGATATGCAGTTGACAGCACGTAGCTGCAGAAAAAGAAAAATGAAGAACCTTGTGGTAAAATGCAGGTATGCATGGCCGATAATTCCTTACTAATCAGTAAAATCAACGAGACGAAAAAGAAGTTGTCCTAATTCGATGCCCGCTTCGAAAATTGGATGTAGAGAATTCAGGGAGCAGCGCTGTGTTTGGAAAAATATGGCAAATCCTGGATTCTTGTATCATATTTGAAAACATTATCCACTTGTTTGTAGTTCCATTTCTAGATTCATTATTTCTGTTCATAAATACTATGCTTTTTTAGGGTGTCTACATATTCTACATATTCCTCTGGAATGCTGATTTAACCCTTGTGCGGCAAAGTTGGACTTTTTCCACAAAATTTTGTGTCTGTCAGGACAGGTTTTTAAAAAAAGAGGAACAATTCACCCAGGACAAAGTCAGGCAAAATCTCAATGTATTTTTTAAAATCTGCAGAAAAATTTTGCCCAAAAATAAAAATAAAATGCATCACCAAGGCTGAGCTTTTTTTTAGCCTCTCCCAGGATTAGTTGCATTCTTCTCTGATTTGCAACCCTTTCATTCAGGGCACCAGACAGAGGATTCTTATTCAGAGGCAGAAAAAGATTAGTGGAAAAAGTCCAACTTTGGGAAATATTAGCTGCACCGTTTTGCCGGAAAAAGTCCGACTTCGCCCTAGGCGACCTGGCTTGGCTTTTGTGGCCTTCAGGAAAAATGAAACGCAAGACCACCCTAGAAAATCCTGACTTTGCTGTGCAATGGAAAGGAACCCTTTGCCGTCCAAGGGTTAATCAGATTAATCTGATTTAATGTATGGATGAAGTGTTGGGTTGACAATAGATGGCACCCAAATAACAGGGGGTTGAGGGCATAGACTGGAAAAATCCACATGTTTTTCCCTGGGCACAGAAAAATTTTGCTGGAAAAAAAGCTCAGTTAAGTTGAATTAATCCCAACTTTGCCTCAGCCCACCGAGGAAAAAAACTCCTTTCCTGACCTTCAAAAAACTGGAAATGCCGGAAGATACAAAAATAATCCAACTCCATCCCACAATGGGAAAGAACCCTCTGCTGCCTGGGGGTTAAAGATATTTTAAACGGCCCTCTCTAAGAAATACCCTGCTGCATAATGGCCAATAGAAGTATTTGAATTATTTTTGAACTTTTCACAGAAAACCTTTGTCCATTTACCATTCAACATGAAGTTTACCTGGTGGAAATGATGACACCTGCCGCTAAATTAATCCTTTGGCTCGGATAAGCTGCGGGGGCCAATTCAATCCTGGCCATGTATTGGTAACCGGTTCTGCTGGTCACAGGAGTCCCACCATAGACGACTGTTTCAGCGTCGCTGTTATTCTGGAAAGGCTTCGAAGCAGGGGGCTTAGTGGTTTTCGACGAGTTCGAACTTTTGTTCCCAGCAGCAGTTTTGAAATCAAGCACTTTTTTCATTTTATTTTCAATTGATGCCTTTTGCTGCTTCACAGCCTCCCGCAGCATTTCTTCTGACAGCCCAGCTCCTTAGAATACAGGTATAAAAAAAATGAATCAATGGAAAATCCTAGTACAATTTCTGCATTTACTCGATTATACCTTTATCTCGCAATTAAAAAAGAAAATTGTATTTTATACGCGTCATGGGAGGAGTTAAATTTTCACACAAAAAATTCCAAGAAGTTGAGGTGTGCGTCAAATTTGAATGTATAATGGGATTTTTTTTAATCGAATCAATTGAAAAATAACTGGATTCAGGCGAAAATTATCTTTGAAATTATAAATCTGGTCTCTCTTAATTCTTTTTCAAATAGTGTAGTTTCGAATAGTTGCTTGAAAATGAGGGACATTTATTACTCAAGGGAACATTGTACGCGAGTAAACACCGTAGTTTAAAGAACAAATATATAAATTTATGCAGCACTATTCGCATTTCTTGGTTGTCTAAAAATTGTTTCTGGATAAATCAATACTTCTCACCGGGATCCTGAAGAAGAACCGTTGGCGTCAGCAATGCAAGAGTAAAGATGAGGAGAAGAAATCGCATCGTAGTATTTCCCAAGGGATACTTGTTCTTGAAAAATGCTGCACGTCTAACACTGCAGAACCGAGCAAAGGGAATCAAGTGGCACTGAAAGTTCGCCGATGTAACTCAGCAACGTCGAGAAGATTCAGACGATTTTTCGTTTTTGTTTTGGTCACAGAAAAACAAGTTCAGTACTCTAACCATGCTTCAGTTTCTTCAGTATTTCAGTGTAAAGGCTGAGCCCAAAAAATTTTATTGAATCTTAAAATGGTAGTGATTTATTTCATTCTGAATGAATGAACAAAGGGAAAATTCAGAATTTGTTGTACTGTATATTCAATCCCTCAACCTTGATCACATAGGTGCACTTGCTATTATTGCTCCTGATAGTACTGTATTTTCAAATTTTTGATTTGTATAGGTAGGGTTATTCATCACCTGGTAGCAATTTTTATGCAGAAATTCGAACTTTTTATACGCGTATGAAGTTCCTGATGTTTATATAGTACTGTAGTGAGATTTTGAAAATCCTATTGGGACTTTTATGCGAGTTTTTAGTTCTCATTCAATTATTCGATCGTTAAAACGAAGGCTTCACGGAATGTATTTCCATTTTTTTGTCCTCATTGCCATGATATTAATGCTATAGAACCATCAAATCGGTCATAGTTTGAAAGGTAGGTTAAACCGTTTGGTTGAAGAGATTTCCTCATTTTCATTCAAGTGAAGCTCGGAGATCATTTAAGTTTCGCCTAGAATACTTTTTTAGGATTGACTTCCCCTGTATATCGTCAGTTGTTTACTGTTGTGAAGTTCTTACTGCGCAGGAATACGTCACTGCGGGTAATCCACCGAAGAACAAAAACACGATTCCATCAAGGCGACAACATGATCAGCAGTATACTCGGTGTCGAAATCAAAATGGAATCATATGATAGAACTCCAAAAATTCGAAATTCCTTAGAAAGCCAGGCATTTTCGCAAATATCGATAAAACCGATAATTTTATTTTGACATTTTAGCCCGTTTTATGCGATGATCTTTGTTTTTCCTTCAAATGAAGGGATGAATCATGCGGAAGGAATGCTTCTTCGATTTGAGATCGAGTGCGATGGTATCATTTTTTCATGTGAATGAAAGTCTTCAGCTTTGGTTTTTTTTCGTCTTTAGAAACAAAGCCAGTTCACTTTGGTACATTATCGAAGGTCGAGTTCGGGGGCAGGCACTGAAAAGTACTTTCAAGAATTTTCCGTTCCGTCTCACCTGCCCTTGATTTCTGTCCGGACTTATTTTTTTCAATAACGATCTTTCCTTTTAGGTAACTTTTGAGTCTCCTCTACATGCAGGTAACTGTAACATTTTAGTACGTTATGTTCTGAACGAAGTTCGAGCACATAAGCGCGCTGATTTCATTAATTATTGATCTTCACGAACATTTTGACTGAATTTTCTGAAAATCAAAAGATCTTTCAAGTAAAAGATAAAACTGAGATTCCATTAGAAAAATCAGTTCCAAAAACCGTATGTTGTTTACTAATGTATTATCTTCTACGCTGCAATTTCTTGGAAAATTTTTAAAAGTGCGTAGCTAACAGAGAAAAATCGGTATGATCTTCATTCCACTGCTGCATATTTTTTGGGATGAAATAAAGTGAAAAGCAGTTTTAAAATGCCTAAACTTCTCAATTATTCATATTAGTGATTATACTGCAATTCTAGGATCCAAATTACTTGTTGAATAATTTGATTGTTTCCATCTGTTCACCCTGAGTATGAGACAAGACAGCCAGATCTTAAAAAGTCTTATATTTCATTGGAAATACTTTTATTTTTCAGAAGGGTCCACAAATTTCCAATGAATTCCAAAAATAATCATTTCTATCATATTTTGCAGATTTTAAAATGCTTGAAAAATGCAACTACAAATCTATTTTTGAATTGATTGCTAATTTTTTTTCGAAAATCTTTGAATAGTCTCCGTATCTGGACAAGTCACTTTTATTCAAAATTACCTGGGTATATTTTTCAGGTGTAAGTTTCCCAAAGTCAAATCATCGATCTATATATGATGTTGGGGTGTCCGCATTGCTGGATCTCGCTGTGAAATCATGAACATCAAGATAAACAGTGACCGGTTAATTGTAGCTGCAAGAAAAAAATGCAATGCATTTGTGCCAACTGAACAAAGTTCCACATCTTCCACGTCCCACCAAGGAAACAATACCAGCACTAGTTTACCTCTGCTATGGTCGTTGTCGCTGCAACGTGGACGCGGATGGCGGCGAAAAGAAAATAAGCAAAAAACAATAATAAAGAGAGCAGCAGTCGTGGTAAAAAAAAAAAAGAAGAAGAGGAATAAAGGAGACGCTGTCGGGGGCGCCCTTCCCAGCATTAATGGGGGCGCCCCGGGTTGACCCCAGGGCGGCGACCTTGTGACCCCCGCCGGCACAGGCCAGGCACGACTGACTGACTGACTGACTCTGACTGTCCGCTCGCAGCTTTCACTTAGCTCGGCATCAGCCCCGCAGTACTGTACTGTACTGTCCTGTCCTGTACAGTACTGCGCTATCGTCGGCGTCTCTGCTTTCTTCCCTGATTGACTGCATTCAGCCTCGATTCCCTCATGTGCTGCATTGTATATAGAGGGAATAATGGTGGCAGTACTTGCACTTGGCACTCCTGATGTCATTCCCCATCAGCCACGGTGGTCATTCCGAGGGAGGCTCTGTGCAGTACAGTATTGTACTGTACTGTACTTGTTTTGGAGACGAAGCTGCGCCACAGACGTATGACAGACAATCTGAGCTTGGGACTTTTTATGTGCAAAAAGATTTAGGAAAAATTAACATCTTTGATCTCATCTCATTATCTTTTCCTTTTTATTTTTTATTTTAACACGTTTTTATTAACTTGCTTTCTTGTCCGTTTGTTTGTCCGGATTTGCGTTTAAGGTTATTTTTTGCTTTTTGAAATCGTGGTTTTTTAGATTAATTTTTTAATCTACTAAATTTTTTTTCATTACTGTACCTGTATATCACGAATTTCAATGCAACTCTCCATTTTGTGGCTGCTGGGATTCCAGTTTTTCTTGCGAGACATGACGGGAAAAATCGCCAAAATATTTTTACAGGAGAATTTCCCCATCGTCGGACCCACATGTACACACACCGACAGTTTTAATATGAAAAAAAAACAGCGGTTTAATCTTCTCGAACAAATATTTATCGAATCATGAAAATTGGGAAGTTCGGATGAGACACATCAACAATTCTGCATTTCAATTTGTTCAATGGTCTCCTCTTTGCATGCACGCGTTTAAATAAAATAAATTTTACGATAAAATACGTGCTGTTCAATTACCTGAATTGAAAAGGACGGAAGTCGTAAAAATTGCCATGAGAATGTAGGCCATATTCTAAACTGTGTCAATATTGTTTTGGATGAGTTTTTAATCAATTAGATTAGAATTTCCATGGAAGGCTCGCATAAACGAGAAAAGGAACAACGAGTAATTCAACTTTCCTTGTGGATTTCCCACATCATCTTCCTGTATCGAGTAAATGTGATTATTAAGGTGCTGCTTGCTTTTATTGTATTTCCTCAAAATAATCAATCAATTCTGAAGGAAGCGTTAATTTTCTTGAAGCCGGTGCTGCCTTTTGAAAATCCGACGGAAATCAAAATATATATTGGCGCTTTTGGGAATCTTTTGCTCTCGCTTTGCTAGTCAAACGAACCGACTGAATTCGAGAAAAAAAAATTTGAACATTTCTGGAAATGATTGTCATCCACACTCAAAAGGCCTTCAGGGGTTACAGCAGCTATATGTGGCTGACACCCAGCAAAGGTGTATTCAAAGTGTAGCAGCACCCCTCTGCTCAATTTTTTTTTAAATCACTTCTCACCCTCTCCTCCTGAATTTTTGAATTGTGTGTGCCCTTCTTAAAGACTGCATGAACTTTGCTGGATAAATCACATTCTTTTCAACCAATTTATCCCTGAAAAATGCTTGTAACACTGGTAAATTATTGGACGGAGTTGCCAGACATATATTTTTCCATCTACAGTACATTGTTCTTGTGACGATACTGTGGCACTTGAGGGCCACAAAACCACATGTACGTTGAAAGGAACTTGAAAAAAATGTTCATTCCTTGTCTTCTTGGCTGCTGTTAGAAAAAACTTTGGCATGCCAACAATTTGGCACGAGACAAGTAATTCTTCTGTTTCTTAATCTTGAGAAAAATTTAGCTGCTTCTGCTGGAGCCTCAGAATCAAACCCAAGTTTGGTTCCCAGGCCCAGCAAGGACATCCCTGAATTGATTTCTAATCTGCGTCCTTCACCTCTTCCTTTCCTAATTTCTGGATTTCATTTGACCAGAAACTTGCATTTGAGTTGCAAACCCAAGCGGATCTCCAAGCAGTAAAGCTACGTACGCGTTATATCAAAATCTTAAACAGTGTTCTTTGTATTCCTGAAAATACACCTCTTTATAATAAGACAAACTTGTCCCAGCCGCAGCCTGGCTGATTGACCGTGTTTCTTTTCCTGACTAATTCATTGATTCACCTAAGCATCAATCTCTTTATATTCCATCTCATTCAAATCATCTTGCATCCAGTTGAGTATTCAAAATTCTTAAGTTTCTTTTTATCAGCTTTGTGAGAAGTTCTCTTGCTCTCAAACACTTTTTCTCACAGCTGCATCTTGATTTACCTCTGAGCTATTGTAAGCCAAGCAGTAATTTCATTTTTTGGCCCACCGTGTATACAGTACAGTATTTCGATGTAGCAAGAAGATGGCAGCGGGTTCCTAATATGCCGGATGGATGATTCTGCTAAAAATTAAAAAAATAAATAAATAAAGTATTTCCAAACAATCGAAGTGATGGACTGGTTTTGAATGCGGACAAATGAATGCGACGTCCACTTGCAGCAGTACCTCGTGGATGATGTATATAGCGTGCAAGTGCATGGGCGGCTGAAGAACCTCGCAGCGGGAAGCGCCGAATATCCTGATGCATTCGTGGGCGGGACACGCCTGCGTTTATCCGCAATGAGACAGCAGAATGGCCTGCATCGGGATCAGCATGCACTTCATTTTTTTACATCACTTTCGGGTGCTAAATGATGAGCATCTACCTCGTGCGCCAAATTAAGCTTGTCCGACATCAATCGGAAGAACACCCATCATGATCGATGATACACGATTCATTCCCAGATTTGCAGGGGAGGAAATCTCCTCGTCGTCTCTTGCGCCGAATTTCTGTAGCGTCTGTGGCTTTGAAAGTCGGATTTTTCTTTTCTTGTTGAGAAATTTGCATCCTAGTACTGTATCTGGAAATGAAGAAATTTTCAAGCATGCGCAATGTGACCCGAATCTGTGCATATACAGCAGTTATTGGCAGCTCATAATTGGTGATTCGACCTAATTGTCCCTATATATGCTGAAATGTGTGCATGTTCAATAGCATTTTCCATTGCACAATAATTCAATGGGAATATATTGTATTAGCTCCTCTGCCGATCAGAATTGAGGAAAAATCTCCAAAACATCAAATCCAAGTTTTTTTCTCAACTCTAATTATATACTGTACAGAAAAATAAGTGTGAAGGAGAAAATCACACACAATCTTATCTTTTGGCATGGAAATGGCGGGCCCAAAAGGCGAAGAATGAGCAAAAGTTCGCCTATACTCCGCAAAGAATATGGAACAAACTCTGAAAGAAACAGAAATTAACCTATCTATTATTTTATAAATGTTGTTAACGTTTTTGCATCTCATTGAGAAGTTGTTTAAATGTTGAGGCACATTCTCTTTAGTTGTAAGTGCTCCCAAGTCCATAGGTCAACTGAATTCGCTATTTTTTTTATTGCATAAAAGTTTTGATAAAGAAAGTACAAAAAGCACTATTGCATTTCCTTTGCTTTTCAACTGCTGGCCAATAAAGGGGTAAGTTGATTGAAAAATTGCACCAGCAGATACAATGTAGGTATGATATACTGGAATGTATTCAAGATAACAACAAGCAGCGCAGCTGTGCCAGAAGAATGCAGAGAAGCTACATGTGTGGTCCAGCACATACAAGTAAAGTAGTGAGGCCCCAAGATGTGGACATATTTGGTGCATCAAGAGAGTCCCAAAGTTGAAATCTTCTTGAGTCAAGTCTTCTTTCCCATTTACTTACATTACATAATTTTTAATTGGTATTTTGTGGAAGAAATATTCATCAGAATTCCATTTAAAAAATTGTCTGCCAAGTGAAACAGATTCAATCATTATCTTGCAACTCAATAAGGATATTTGGAGCATTTATTACTCCACTTGTGTACAATACATTGAAATATTGGCATTCTCTGTGAAAATAAAATTCAAGCCAGAAATAGAGAAAGAAGTCCCTCTATTCTTGAGGTAATCTTTTAAAATTAGCTAAACAGAAGGTAAAATGGTGAGAGAAATGCCAAGAAACATTGCTTACATAGATCTTCCAGGGTCTGAGGTATCATTTTCTTGCAATTTGGCCTGGAACAGATTAGCAATTTTAGCACACAATTTCTGCGCATTAAGCCAGTGTCTGCATGTTGGGCTTTTCTATGTTTTTTTTTTGAAAAACAAATTTTCTGCACTTTGGTGTCTGCAACTGGGGGTCTTGCTGTATAGCATGCAAAAATCCACTCATACTGAGCACATGAACCTGTACAGAATGTATGCGGGATATTTGTGGGAAAATTACAAACATACACTCTCTTTCTCTT